GACTTAAAAGAACAAATTGAAAATTTTGAGCCAAATACAAAAATTGATTCAGAATGCGATTTATCTAATTGAATACTTCAATGATGACCAAGGTCGAAGCACAACCTCATACGAAAAAACTATGTCAATTGATATGGTTGTTGAAGATAACGCCGATATAGCGCAATCTCATTCAGCGGGGTTATCCAAGTTAAAAGCTCAAATTGGTGAAGTCATTATGTTCATGGGGTATAATAACTCAGCCTACTTTGCAACCAAATATCAAGAATATTTGTCGAATGTCGTCGTGATTTCATCTTAAAATCTAAAACAAACCCAGATTGGCGACACTGATATGAAAAAAACTCGACTAGGAATAAAGCATCGATGGGCTCCTCCTCCTCATAATTAGGCCACTTTTGTTTTCGTTTTCTAGGAAAATAATAACTTTTATTCTTTTTAACCATTTGGCTGTTCAAACCGATGCATAAGAAAATAAGGAGGAAACAAACGTCGGTTGTCTAAAATAAAAGAAAATTGGAATACTATTAGAATTTTACAACTCGTCAGACTTGGCCATCGCAAATTCACTTATATAAATATGAGGTTTTTTAACGTAGAGGCCCCATAAACTCAACAAAAAACTCAAAACGCCTACGCAAAACCTTCTCACGACCCTAAGAAATACTAATTATCATAACCCTTCCGTTAGCACATATTTAGTTCAGTTGAACATCACTGAGTTGGCAAACCAGCAACATATTTAGTTTGGTGAAATATCATTAGAGAGTTAGAACTGGTTGGCTTAGGAGTACCTTCAGTTTGGTTAAACAACACTACTTTTAGTTCGCTTGGTTGTCTATCCAAGTCTCTGCCAATGAGGAGTCATTGATTCTTGATAAGCTTATATTTATATATATTTTACATAAAATTCACTTGTCTTTTCTTAGTTAGTTCCTTATATTTTTGAGCTATTTACTATGTTTTTGTGTTTTGTGTGATTTATCAAGCAAAGAAAAGAAAAGTAGCACAAGTGAGTTATTAAGTAACAAATTCGTCAAAACTGCCTGTGCAGATTAGCTGACTTTGGAAGCATGTTACAAACAGCTCAGAATGAATGAGAGAATGAGCCTTATATGGTGGAAAGCTACGGATGTCTATTTTCTGGAGCAATTTACAGATTGTTAATATCATTTTTCTAGAAGAAGTTATGGGTATTGTAACACTGAAAGGTTCAGAAAAGGGCTAAGCAGATTTGACTAATAAAATGAGAAAGTAAAGGCACTTGTTTTGTGTTTTGCTTTGTCATTAACACTCAGCAGCAAATGGGGTTATGATTGCACTCATTTGGCTTTGGAGCAAGTGGAAATGCACAGCTAGAAGATGAACAAGGCACATGGAAGAAACATGGACAGCACACATACAAAGAGAAAGGCAAGGCATGGACAGTTTGACATGGGCAGAAAATGGGTGGATTGTTGGCTGAAATAATGAAGAACATGTGTGTGAAAATGCAAAGGAAAAACACACACACATGGGCAAAGGAAACACACACACATGGGCAGAAAATGGGTTGATTTGTGGCTGAAATGATGGAGGTCATGTGTGTGCAAATGTAAAGGGAAACATGGACATCACACACTCACCCACTACACCCATTACATCCACTCATTACCAAACACTCATCCACCTTACCCATTACATCCACTCATTACCAAACATTCATCCACTACACCCATTACATCCACTCATTACCACAACACTCATCACTACCACCTTAATTAGATGGTGGTCCTCTCCCTAGCCTATAAATACATCCACCCTTCACCATAACAAGGGAGAAGAAAACAAAAGAGAACACAATCCGCCCATCCACCCTTCACCATAACTCACCTATATCCATCAAACCACACCTTGTGCCGCAACAAAGAGAAGAAGGAGTACCCTTGGACGTGCTTGCCATTCAAGTTGGATTGTTTGAGCATTTTTAGGTGTTTTCTTTCTTTTGTTTTCAATGTCTAAATTTATTTATCTTTGCTTTGTAAGTATGAGGAACTAAACCTCCCTTAGCTAGGGGGAATTCGAAACCATGTTCATGCTTGCAATATGATTTGATTACTTTCAGTTGTGATTCATAAGTTGTGAATTCAATTTACTTATCCATTTGAATTAAAACTGATTTGTGTATGTTGGTTGAGAGTGCACGCTTAATTTCCATGCATAAATATGATGCTAGGATATAAGGGAGTTTCACCTAATCGTTATAAACTTATATTCACAAGTAGTAAAGGTTGTTCGTCACAACCGTGTTAAGTAAATTCTTGGCATAAGTTTCATGCAATTCATAGTTACAAGTGTTTCGTCAATGCTTATGATTTTCATAGAACTTAATGATTCTTGCTTATATCTCTATTATGCAATTCATGTAGGGAACTTGTGGGGAATGCTTTGGGTTGTTGTATGAAATCATCAAATTCAATGAAATTAGGAAAATCTGAGGATTAATTTAAGCGTACCTAATTAATCTGGGGTGTTGAGGTTCATGGTTTATTGAAAAGCAACTGGAAATCGTTTTATATGCAAGTGTGTCATGTGTGGAGAAAGACCTTCTAGCTAGCCCATCATCCATTCAAATCACCAAATTCGTCCAAAATCTGTTTTAAGTCTTTAGTTACTTGTTTTTTCTTAAATTCATCCAAAACCAAATCCCCTTTTACTTTAGAGTGTCTAATTAGTTAGAATCTGTCCTAGTTGTGTTTTTAAGTGTTTTGAGTTAAGTTAAAACCAATTTTCGTCCAAAGTCATTCTTAGTGTCTAGTTTGAATCTAATTAGTTGTCTTAAGTTTTGTTTGAGTCTTTTAAGTTTGTTTTGAGTTCTTTGAGTCTAGTTTAGTGTTTTTAACTTTGTTTATATGTTTTTAAGTTAGTTTAGAGGTTATTAGCAAGCCCTCCTAATAGCCGGTCCGGAACAATCCCTACTTTCATTTATACTACAATTGATACAAGAGTTTAATTTGTGTGTTAAGTTAATTTTCGCATCAATTCTCTCGTTGAACGATGTCACTTCATTAGGTTTCTTAGTGAAGTGAGGTGTTACTCAGGTTACTCAGTGTTCGACACATTGAAAGCCAAACATTTATTGAACTTTACAGTAAACGCAACCTTGTCTTCAGGTTCTAGAACCTTAGTCCAAGAGTGTTCCTTCCTTGGCCACTCACTCGTAGTCGCTCAAGTGCAGAAGTCAGCATCGCGTTCGACATCACACTACGACATCCATTTTACTCGCTTGAACGAGCTTGGTTTTGAGTTGGCACGCCCGCATCCATAAGATGAATATATTTAGCTCAATAAATTACTCGACCTGCATGTTGCATAAGCTTTGTAACTTTTAAGGTCAACACACACATTAGCTAAACTCCCTAATATACTCTTGTTAACATATTATGTATGCATTGTAGTCACAAACCCAACAGGTGGAAAGGATCCAAATGATCCGTGAATCATATTCGTTCATTGTATATTGTGCGGTCAGTTTTAAATCAAGTACAGTTTGTGTTTAATTTTAAATAAAAATATTTAAAATAATTTATGATCGCACGATGTATGATAAACGGACACAATTCACGGATATCTAGGATTCTCACAAAGAGGATCCGGATTCGTCACAAACCACGTGGAGGTTCAATGCTTTATATACTCTTGATATGGCTGAGTTTGACATTCGTACTTCTTTTTTTTTTTTTTTTTTTTTTTTTTGATCTGGACATTCTTATCATGTTAACTAAAATATTAGTTTGACTTTTAATTAGTAGTTAGATTAAAAACATATAAATTTTAAATGAGTTCTCAATCAATGCATATACTAAAAATAAAAATATAATAGACTTTTTCTTTTTTTCGAACAAATGATATTATCTACACTAAGAGGGTAGGAGAGTGAGCTAAGTCTCACAATAGGCTAGCAATAATGTGGTTCAAATTCGCCTTTGGCGAGAATCGAACCTAAAACCTCTCATTTACAAATAAAAAGGAATATTATCATATTGTAATACTAAGCGGTATAGTAGGATGTAAACTAAAAGTTCCTACAAAATATTTCCAAGTTTGAATAAAAAAACTAGTCCATAAATACAAAAACAAAATAATATGCAAACATACAAAAAATATATATATTAACCACAAGATTATATTAATTTAGATATAAACTTAGAAATATTTGACAACTTAATAAAGAAAATGGTGAACTGCCAATTTAGTCATTGAATTATCACCTGAGTGAAAGTTAGTTCCCTAATTTTTTTTTTTCAGAAAAATCAGTCATTGAATTATAAAAATCTGCCAATTACATCTCTAATATTATATTCTAAGCTACTATATTCAATTTTCTATCAATTTCAGTCACGTTACTTGTTTGTAAGATACATTAGAGGGTAGATTGATAATTTTACATAAAAAAAATAGTTTATGGAGTTAACTGTGGAGGTTAAATTAGACTTTAGATACGCACCATATATAAAATGTTAAGGGCTTACAGGTGAGAAAAGAACGGTATTACAATTTAAAGTGTGTCAAGTGACTTAAGTTAACAAAAAATAGATAAAATAGCTTTGAATATAATAGTAGGAATGAAATTATAAATTTTTAATGAATTTAGGGAATTATTTTACCGAAAAAAAATTAAGGGACCTAATTTTCACTAAGATGATAGTTCAAGGACTAAACTGTCAATTTATCTTAAAGAAAAACCAACTTAAAATATATGAATCATTAAAAACTTAATTTTTTATTTTGCTTTATTAAGTTGTCAAATATTTTAAGTCTTTATACATAATAATTCCTTCTTCCAGTTTGTTTTTTTTTCAAAATTCCTTCTTCTAGTTATATACCCTAAAAGAGGGAGGAGAATTTCTCTTCTCTCGTAATCTCTCTCCTTCTCTTCCCACTTATTTAAACGGTTATAATTAATTTACGTTAAGATTTTATCTTGATTTTTCTATTAAATTAAGAGATAAAAAGACAAAAAGAAATGTAGAGAGGAAGGGAAAGGGGAAGGGAACAGAGAGGGAATCCGAGAGAGAGAGAGAGAGAGAGCGCGCTCAGAAGGAAACGTGGAGAGGAGATAAAGCGGTGAGACAAAAGGAAATGGAGGGAGCAGCCGCAGCCGCAGCCGCAGCAGAAGGGCGGCATCCTCTCAAACCCCATCCTCGTTTCAATAACCGTAGCAGCTGGAAACATAAGGTCTCTCACACAAACCACGAACAATTCACGTTTATGATTCATTTATTATTTCGTAATTTTAATCCTTGCTTGGATTCAATTTTATGATCCAATTGATTTTGATTGTACAAATTGTTATGCATAATTTGAAAATATTTGTTAGTGTGTTGTATGTAAGCTTAGCAAAGTGTATTGGTATCTGTAATTTGTTTTGTAGCTGAGAGAGAACTGTTACAAAAGGGTTCGAGAAGACAGAATGCGGTTGCTTTGGAAGATGAGAATGCTGCCCACTCCACAAATTCTCAATCACATTCCAAATGTACTCCACGGTCTTCACACTGTCCCTAATTTTTTCTTTCTTTCTTTCCTTTTATTTTCTCTATGAAAATTTGGTTTGCACTTCCCAATTGGATGGGTGTAACTTGTGTTTGCAGGATTTGATCAAATCTGCATTCCAGGACATAGTTTCTGCTGAATTGGAAAAAATTAAGGAATCGTCATTGGATGAAAATGTAAGGAGTTCAACATCTGTCCCTGAGGCCAATGATATGTTATGGGAATACGATGGCCTTACAAATGTATACCAAGGTGATTGTGAAGAGATATTGTTAGAAATGCAAAGGATCTTTTATGAAGACCTGACTATTCATCCAACTAGAAAAGAAGGTGAAAAAGGCGGTGTTTTTTTCTTGATGAAATTAAGTTTGTTACAAGCTCAATTGTTGTAGCAGAAAGTCTTTTGACTATCGAAGGTTATAATTTTCTCTAGCCCTTTGCAGAAACAGAAATCTGTGCTGAAACATGGGAAGATGAAGAGGATGAGTATTTGTCCCAGGCAGTTTATGAGCATATGCAACTGAACGACAAGCAGGTATAACAACAAAAGTTATGAGTATTCCATGCAACAATTTATACGAATTTGTATCCAGTTCGCACATTTTATTATATGCATAATAATTGTTAACCATTGAATTTGTGATTAGTGATATTATCGATTACATCTTTATAATGACATTTGATATTTTAATGAAAACCTGTACTCAAGAAACTTTATAGTTGGCATCTGAGAGAGTATCACTTTAGCTGATGATTAACTCCAAAATACGTTTAATGTTGTCATTGTTTCATTTTAAACCCAATTATCTGTTGTAATGAACATTGACCCTGCCTATAAAGAGCTACTTATATAATTTTATTTCCCCCAGAGATGTTTTAGCAAACTATGGAAGATAATATTATTTTCTAACTTTATTAGAGTGATATTAGAAGTATCATATTTCTTGAGGGCACATCTAGTCGTGTGATGTGTCTTAACAACAAGCAATACTAGATTTCTTGACTACACCAGAGTTAAAACTTGATCTGAGCTTCAGCTTCTAGATCATGTGACATTTGATAGAAGAATATGGTCATTCTAACATAAGTTGCCCCCACTTAAGGAAATTTTTGGCTCCGTCCCTGCTTGCCTTGCACAAAGAGGTGTGATCCAGAGGGTAAACTGTGAAGCCAAGATCTCTTGACTGAAAAACGGAAGATTACATGAGGCAGATATAACCAAGATGGTTGATGAGATACCGTGAGAAGAGTACAAAGTCCATGTGTTGAGTCTCACATGGCCTACTTAAGTTGAGGGGAAGTTCTATATACGTCGGCTTAGTATCTCTTATAATTGGAGGCCTTTCAGCTCATGAAGGCTAGGTTAAGCCCCAAGCGGGAATATATATGACCAGCGGATGTGGGTCATTCAAATCAGGAGTTAGAGAACTTGGGGCTCTTAATCAGGCTGTCTTCTGCTTATGGATCCTAAGCTGATTTTTTATTAAGGAACATTCTAATTTTTTTTCAGGAAAAGAAAAAAGAAAACGAAAGAGAGAAGTTGTGCCATAAATGAATGCTTGGTTGACTGACATAGAGTTGTGCCATAAATGAAGGCTTGGTTGACCAACTATGTCAGGAAATGAAGGTTGAAATGGATGACCTGACCATCGAGTAGGACCCAAATAAAGCCTTATGACATGATTAATTGAGATGAGATCTTTGTTGTTTTCTCTGTTCCGGTTGCTTATTTTCTTGCCCTGTGAACAAAACCTGCATACTAGCTAACATTCTGTTACAGCAGCAGCAAGTCTGATACTATGGCTAAATCATTCCTCTGTATTTGTTAGTATTATAACTTACTTTTCCACCATCTTATTACAGTTGTGGTCTCAGCTTCTAGTTATTTTTCCAGTCAAATTACTTCCCTATCTATCAAAGTGTAGTAAAATTAATAATAGCATGCCATATATTTTATATCCATGTGAGAAGGCTAAATCATTCCTCACTATCAGTTATTCTTTGGTACTGATTATATTGTTTTGGCCGTAATGCTAGATGCACAAGGAGGAAGTTTGGTGCCCTGTCTGTAAGCACGGAGTAATACAAGAGAATTACAATCTAATATACTGTACTCTATGCAAAGTTCAGCTCAACAAAGGCAATGAGGTATTGTTAACTCCTTATGTTTCTATCTATGCTTATGCATTATAATGCAGATATCATAATCCAAAATTTGACCAGGTTCTCCATAATTTTTGGATGTAAAGAAATAAAAATCTCGACTCCCGAATTCCCAAATAGTCTGTTTTGTGGTCTTGGAAGCGGCAAGAAATAAATCTTGCTGGATAGATAGTGGATCGTCAAGAACACAAATAGATTTTCTTCTAATAAGGAAAGGGGATCGTATAACTTGTAAGGATTGCAAAGTATACCAGGAGAGAGCGTGGCTAATCAACATCGCTTGTTGGTGATGGATGTACATATCAAAAGAGTGAGAAAAAAGAACAAGACTTGGAAGTGCCCAAGGACTAGATGGTGGAATCTAAAAGAAGAAAAACAAGTCATTTTCAAAGAGAAAGTAATCACCCAGTGTGTGTGGGATAGAGAGGGGGAAGCTAACCAAATGTGGGATTCCATGGCTAGTTGTATCCGAAAAGTAGCAAAAGAGGTATTAGGAGAGTCCAAGGGCTTTGCCCCACACCAAAAAGAATCTTGGTGGTGGAATGAGGAGGTACAAACAAAGGTGAAGGCTAAGAAGGAATGTTGTAAAGCCTTATACAAGGATAGGACCGATGAAAATGGTGAAAGGTATAGAAAAGCGAAGCAAGAGGCGAAGAAAGCTGTGAGAGAAGCTAAGTTAGCGGCTTATGACGATATGTATAAGCGACTAGATACCAAAGAAGGAGAGTTGGATATCTATAAACTAGCTAGAGCAAGGGAAAAGAAGACAAGGGACCTAAACCAAGTGAGGTGCATCAAGGATGAGGATGGAAAGGTTCTTGCTACAGAGAACGCGGTTAAAGACAAATGGAAAGGTTATCTTCATAATCTTTTCAATGAAGGACATGAAAGGAGTGCTTCTTTAGGGGAGTTGAGTAACTCAGAAGAGTGTAGAAACTACTCTTTTTATCGTAGAATCCGGAAGGAAGAAGTGGTTGTAGCTTTGAAGAAGATGAAGCATAGAAAAGCAGTAGGCCCAGACGATATACCAATCGAAGTGTGGAAAGTTTTGGGAGAGACAGGTATAACATGGCTCACTGACCTTTTCAATAGGATTTTGAAAACGAAGAAGATGCCAAATGAGTGGCGAACGAGCACTTTGGTGCCTATCTACAAGAATAAGGGTGATGTACAAAATTGCATGAACTATAGGGGTATTAAGCTAATGAGTCATACAATGAAGCTCTGGGAGAGAGTCATTGAGCATAGATTGAGGCAAGAGACACGGGTTTCGGACAACCAAGTCGGGTTAATGCCAGGGCGCTCAACCATGGAGGTAATCTATCTCTTACGAAGATTGATGGAAAGATATAGAGATGGGAAAAAGGATTTACACATGGTCTTTATAGATTTGGAAAAAGCGTATGATAGGGTCCCAATAGACATTCTTTGGAGGATTTTAGAGAAGAAAGGAGTACGAGTAGCATATATCCAAGCTATACAGGATATGTATGAAGGATCAAAGACTGCCGTAAGAACTCATGAAGGACAAACCGAAAGCTTTCCCATAACTGTAGGATTACATCAAGGCTCATCCTTAAGTCCTTACCTTTTTGCGTTGGTAATGGATGAGTTAACAGGACATATTCAAGATGATATTCCTTGGTGTATGCTTTTCACAGACGATATAGTGTTGATAAATGAAACTCAGGAAGGGGTAAATGCAAAGCTTAACCTTTGGAGAGAAGTGTTGGAATCTAAAGGTCTTCGCTTAAGCCGATCAAAGACAGAATATATGGAGTGCAAGTTCAGTGCAAATGGAGGCCAAAACGAGTTAGGGGTGAGGATCGGAGATCAAGAAATACCAAAGAGCGACCGTTTTCGTTACCTAGGATCTATCTTGCAAAAGAACGGAGAATTAGATGGAGATCTCAACCATAGAATACAAGCTGGATGGATGAAGTGGAAGAGTGCATCCGGCGTGTTTTGTGACCGCCGTATGTCACTGAAGCTCAAGGGAAAATTTTATAGGACGGCAATAATGCCGGCGATGCTGTATGGCACAGAATGTTGGGCGGTGAAGCATCAACACGTACACAAAATGGGTGTAGCGGAGATGAGGATGCTTCGTTGGATGTGTGGGCACACGAGAAAGGATAAGATTAGGAATGAGGATATCCGGGGTAAAGTAGGAGTAGCCGAAATTGAAGGAAAGATGAGAGAAAATCGGTTACGGTGGTTTGGACATGTGCAAAGAAGGCCTACTGACGCTCCGATTAGAAGATGCGACTATGGGACAGAGGTTCAGGGCCGAAGGGGTAGAGGAAGACCTAGGAAAACTTTGGAAGAGACCCTAAGAAAAGACTTGGAGTACTTGGATCTAACGGAGGACATGACACAGGACAGAACACAATGGCGTTCTAAGATTCATATAGCCGATCCCACTCAGTGACTTGGATTTTCCAAGTCTCCAACCGAGAAGTTTTCCTCACTCGGGAAATTAAGGGAACACTACCTCAACCTACATGCTCCACTCACAAAGCTTCAACAAAAGAAAATTCAAAGAACTTAGCGAAGAAGGCTTTGGTGTATTTAACACAATACGTTGAAATGAAGGAAAGCTTATTTATTGATATCCCCGATAAGTTACAAAATATGTACATATACTTGAGTCAAAATAAACAAACAAGAGGGAGCCTTCACAAAGGTTGCTTAGGAGAAGTCTCAGCAGTCGGTAGAGCCCCAGAAAGAGAAGGCACAGGAGGGGGATCATTCGGAGCCTCAGTACTGGACAGAACCATAGAAGGAGGAGGCATCAGAGGTTGATCATTTGGAGCTTCATTACGCGGTACAGCCCCAGAAGACGAAGGCAATAAATGCCTTTGGAACAAACCCACAAATCTCTGATGATCAAGTAAAACCTGATCATCAGATTCCTTCATCTGGTCAAGCTTCCTCTTCATGTTTGTAGCATAGTCATGTGCGAGCCGGTGCAACTGTTTATTCTCATGCTTGAGCCCTTTAATCTCCTGTTTGAGACTTATCACTTCAGCCACTAATGATTCAACTTGGCGGGTTCGAGCAAATAGGCGTTGGGCCATATTAGACACAGAACCTGCACACTGAACACTGAGAGCCATAGAATCCTTAACAGCCAACTCATCAGACCGTTTGGAAAGTAGTCTGTTATCTTTGGGAGAGAATGTTCCTAGCCACTACCGCAGCGGTCATATCATTCTTCATCACGGAATCCCCAACGGTAAGGACCAGTAGGGGAGACGAAGGATGGGCGCCATATGTTGTCTGGAGAAGGCGGGGCTGCCTCTTCAACAAGGTTCAAGTCAAAACGACGGTCGGAGGGGCCAAACATTTTCAAAGGTGTTGAAGAGAGAAGAGGTCGGACAAATCAAGATCTTAGAAGTGCAAGAATGGAGCTTCTACTGGTGGATATTCAAGTGTGCTTTGGAACTTAATGTCAGCCCCTATAAAAATCCGCACTCGACGAAGCTTCAGAAATCGAAGAGGCGCCTGCTCAGAAATCGAAGAGGCGTTTGCTTTCTCAAAAGCTGGGCTGCTCAGAGACCACGAGGGTCGATCTCAGAAATCGAAGAGGCGTTTGCTTTCTCAAAAGCTGAGCTGCTCAAAGACCACGAAGGCTGATCTTAGAAATCGAAGAGGCTTGCTTTCTCAAAAGCTGGGCTGCTCAGAGACCACGAGGGCCGATCTCAGAAATCGAAGAGGCACCTACTTTTCCAGCCTTGTCAGCACCTGTCACACGCACACTCAGCTTTGCGGAAATTATGGGCATTCTGTCGAAGATTTCTGGCGAAGTAGAAAGCACATGAATCGTACTGTTCAATCACCCACTTCCCACACGCAACAAAGTTGAGACACGTGAAGCTTGCAGCTCCTACTACATCGCTCTGACCAAGAAGGGTAAAAGAATAGCAAAGAAACAACACTAACAAAGTTTAGACACATAAATTTTGAAGGTCTAGCTACCATATTATTACCCACAAGGGTAAAGGAACAGTACCACTGCTGGATAATTGGAAAGTCCCGGTGTGTCAACCTCTGTGCTTCGTGGCAAGGTAGACTAGCAAACATGCCCAACCTTTACTCACATTCGAGAAAACACTCCCAACAAGATTGCTTGCTCCAAAATCGAAGAGGCACCGCCCTCCGAATCTCGAGAGCCAAACTCCCAACATGATTACTTTCTCAAAAATCGAAGAGAGGGTAAAGGAACAGTACCGCTGGTGGATAATTGGAAAGTCCCTGTGTGTCAACCTCTGTGCTTCGTGGCAAGGTAGACTAGCAAACATGCCCAACCTTTACTCACATTCGAGAAAACACTCCCAACAAGATTGCTTGCTCCAAAATCGAAGAGGCACCGCCCTCCGAATCTCGAGAGCCAGACTCCCAACATGATTACTTTCTCAAAAATCGAAGAGAGGGTAAAGGAACAGTACCACTGCTGGATAATTGGAAAGTCCCTGTGTGTCAACCTCTGTGCTTCGTGGCAAGGTAGACTAGCAAACATGCCCAACCTTTACTCACATTTGAGAAAACACTCCTAACAAGATTGCTTGCTCCAAAATCGAAGAGGCACCACCCTCCGAATCTCGAGAGCCAGACTCTCAACATGATTACTTTCTCAAAAATCGAAGAGACACCGCTCTCCGAATCTCGAGAGCCAGACCCCTAACAGGATTGCTTTCTCAAAAATCGAAGAGGCATCGTTCTCCGAATCTCGAGAGCCAGATCCCCGACAGGATTGCTTGTTCGAAAACCGAAGAGGCACCACTTTCCCAACTTCAAGAGATGGATCTCCTTGGATAAAGCTTGTCTGTAATTTTCACACGCAACATCAGCTTTCCAGATACCACATACCACTTTTTCAAAGTGCTCTGACAGAGTTAAAACATGTGAAGCTGGCAGCTCCCACTACCGTGCTATGACCAAGCAGGGTAAAGGAATAGCATTATTACTTGATGTTAGGGAGACTCCTATATATGTCGACTTTCATCCCCAACGGACAGGCAGACCTGCAAAAATGCTCAACCCTTCCTCTTATCTGAGAGGGCACTCCCAACGAAGCCTTTCGAAATATTCAGCTTTCTTTCTCCCCGATAATACCTCTGTAAACAAGCTATACTAGAGCAAGAATATCTCATATCTTCAGGGTTAAAAGCAAGAGTATCCCATATCATGCTTTTTCCCTGTCTTTTCCTTTGGCCTTATTCTTACCTGCAAGACAAGGAGAAAGAGAGCAATCAGTCAGCACTTGGAATCAAGCTTCCAGCCAGGAACTGACTGCCTGGAACCCCTTACCTGATTACTTACCTGGCATTGCTCTCGAATACTCATCTTCAACATCTTATGTTTCCAGGGAAGATACCGCATCTGCCTGAGGAACAGATAGGGCAAGTGAGAAGGATACAAGGAAGCATGTGGAGACAAGCGTAACAGCACACGTGCCGATACATCCACTACTCTGTCAAAAGCAAAAGTATCCCATATCAGCAGGGTGAACGTACTCTAGATTTGATGGACTTGTTTTGAACCTCAAATTCTTCAGTCGGCCTTATACTCTGGAGGAAACCAAAAAACCCTCCAGCCCAGTTCAAGAATAAGCCTGTGGAAAGTTACTTCTTCAAAAGCAAAAGTATCCCATATCATCTCTTCTCATTTTTCTTCTCTTTATCCTTCATGCTGCCTGCAAGATAGGGAGAATGTGAACAATCAGCCGGAGCTCTGATTGCTTACCTTGTCTGTCACCTCATTCAGCAGATCCCCTAGCTCGGCGACTTGGGGGACTCCTACTACATGGTTTGTATCGCGCTTGACCAAGCCTGAAACTACAAGTAAGCTTCAAGTGAAATTGATACATTACCTTGTGCATCTCTACCAGTTACAGATACCACCCCTGGATGGAGGAAGAGTACTTCCAGAAAAGATGCCACATCTACCTATGAGACAGATAAGGCAAGTCAAGACGATACCACACTCCGGTACTTAGAAGTTTCGTGGTTACGAGATCATTCTCCCACAATATTTCCTAATGTCATTTGTACTAAATCATTCACTTGTACTCACTAAAGGAGAGCTTGAACCTATGTACTTGTGTAAACCCTTCACAATTAATGAGAACTCCTCTATTCCGTGGACGTAGCCAATCTGGGTGAACCACGTACATCTTGTGTTTGCTTTCCTATCTCTATCCATTTATATACTTATTCACACTAATGACCGGAGCAATCTAGCGAAGATCACAAAAAGTGACCGTTTTCGCTACCTAGGATCTATCTTGCAAGAGAACGGAGAATTAGATGGAGATCTCAACCATAGAATACAAGCTGGATGGATGAAGTGTAAGAGTGCATCCGGCGTGTTGTGTGACCGTCGTAGGCCACTGAAGCTCAAGGGAAAATTTTATAGGACGGCAATAAGGCCAGCGATGTTGTATGGCACAGAATGTTGGGCGGTGAAGCATCAACACGTACACAAATTGGGTGTAGCGGAGATGAGGATGCTTCGTGGGATATATGGGCACACGAGAAAGGATAAGATTGGGAATGAGGATATCCGAGGTAAAGTAGGAGTAGCCAAAATTGAAGGAAATATGAGAGAAAATCGGTTCCGGTGGTTTGGACATGTGCAAAGAAGGCCTACTGACGCTCCGGTTCGAAAATGTGACTACGGGACAGGGGTTCAGGGCCGAAGGGGTAGAGGAAGACCTAGGAAAACTTTGGAAGAGGCCCTAAGAAAAGACTTGAATACTTGGATCTAACGGAGGACATGACACAAAACCGAGCGCAATGGCGTTCTAGGATTCATATAGCCGACCCCACTTAGTGGGAAAAGGCTTTGTTGTTGTTGTTGTTGTTGTTGGATAGATAGTGGATATGGGTGACAGTGCGATTGAAATGCATTTTGTTGTTCTTTTTCTCACCCAGAAAAACAAGCAAAAGGAGTTTTAAACTTGTCTCAGTGCTGGTCACCGAGCTCTCCATTAATATAAGATACTAGCTATCAAAAGATTCTAAAAGACATCATTCATTAAGTTATGCATGAATGCGCCACTTCTGTAATTTTATCTTTTTTTTTTCTTGTTATATATATTGTGAAAAAGGTATCCTTGAAAATGAAATTCCAAATGACATTAGTATATGTAGTTTGTCAATTTGATTAATCATCTTGACCATCATATGGTTATTTAGTAATATTCCTATTACGACTGAAAATAGATTTCATTTATATTACAAGTTGAAAATTCCAGGTTAATTTGGAAATATTGCGGGGCAGGCTAGCAGAAGTTCACACACAGCATCTTGATCGTGGCTGCAAATTGAAACCCAAGTTTTGCATCGAGACTAGATTTAATATAACTGCACTGTACGTTTTCTGTGCTGGTTGTAATACATTTGAGATTGTAGTATAGACTGTATAGTGAATGCTTCCATGCTTTAAAGATGAAATATATCATCATCATCATCAACTTGTTCACTCGGTTGTTATACATTTGAGATGGTAGTTAGTGAATACTTCCCTGTCGATATCTTTCAAGATCAAATATATCGTCATTAGCATCATCTTGTTCACCAAGTAATATTCCCTACTTATTTTCCGAAATTTTCAGCTAGCACATACTGTTTCCACAGGGGAAACAGTGGGCTTTCTATATTCAAGAGGAAACAAGTAATGAAACTTGCAGGCTTCTAGAACTTGAATACAGTTGGAGGAGTAACCCAAAGCCTATCGAATTCAATGCATAACATAAAACTTAGTCCCAATTGTATTGTTTGTCATGGTAACAAGCAACTTCAAAACTATTGTCATTTGTCAGGTGGTAGTGGCTGTAAAGATATATATGCATGAACAAAAATCACATGCAATGCCAGGTTACACATAAGGATATCATCGTCCATAAAAACAGATCAGTGATGAGTGCTAACCACTAACCAGCAGCCCAGTCTAGATCATATTACCATCTTTGAAACTCCTGGACGCCTGAACCAAAGGCCTCTCATCGATTGGATTTGGTTTAGGTGCTATTACTACTGATTGGCCAATCGAGGAAATTGTAACCTTCAAGTGAGGGTGGTAGATATGCCTGCGTGACACTGGCAGAGGAATTGTCGGGAGGGTAAATGTATCCGTGCATACCCAAGTTCCTTCATTAGCTTGGTAGGCGCATTCCTCAGATGAAGAGGCACTCCCTCATTCTGTCCGACAGAGTCCCTCACCACTTGTTGTGTACTCCATATTGCTTTATAAACAGCCAAAGGTTTAGGAGCCAATGCCCAGTAAGCCACACACTGTGCAAGAATGACATTGCACTCTGGCATTCCCAGAAAATGGCAAGCCTGATGACAAGCAACGGCCTGGTTCGGTGCTGATGGGTCAGCCAACCCAACATCTTCACTGGCGAACCTTATGAGTCAGCGGGCAATATGGAGAGGCTCTCGGCCTCCTTCTAGCATCTTTGCCAACCAATAAATGGCAGCATTAGCATCACTTGGTCTCATGGACTAGTGAAGGGCACTGATGAGATTATAGTGCTCATCCCTGGCTTTGTCAGAAGCAACATGTTTGCATTGCAAAGCCTCTTTGGCATCCTCTAAGGTAACAACATCAGTAGCCACTAAATTATTATGATCATCATCATCATTCGTAGAGGTAGAGGTAGAGTTAGAGATCGAGGAACTAGAGATAGAGGCCACTCGGGAAGCTGTTGTTGTTGCAGAAACTTCCAGGCATCCACACCTTGGGAATCAATCCCTTATTATTGGAGGCACTGGCAGCCCACTTGAGAAGGAGCTCAGCCACGTGGGGTCTCAGAGGGCGGAGAACAAGAACTCGGCAGCGAGACAGAGACAATAGCGGCCTGATCAAATGGAAGTACGGGTTCTCGGTGGTGGCCCCCATGAAAACTATACTGCCGTCTTCGATGACGGGCAAGAACGAGTCATGCTGGGACTTCTTGAACCTGTGAACCTCGTCCACGAACAGTTTTGTGTTTTCTTAGCCGCCTTTTTCTTCTTGAGAGCAAACCACCATATAAACCCATATATAGGAACACTTGGGTCTCCAGTGTATCAGAAAGTGAGTCTTAAGAGCATCTCTAATGAGATTTTAGTATTTAGGGACTCCAACCACCACATATGAGGACTCATTTATAGCGCGTTTACTAATCCGTAATCAAATTGAGAGGAATTGAATTGAGGAGAAATTGGATTGATGAGGAATTGAAATGAGGTGGAATCAAAATCAGATTCCTGTTGAAGTTGTTTACTAAAACTGTCCGGAATCGGAATACAATTCCATAAAACTGTTTTCAATTCAGTAGAATCGGAATATAAACCAGTATGATTACTAAAATGCCCTTGTCTCAAATCAAATATTTTATATACTTTTTTTAATAAAATTTGACATAGTATATAATAGTAAGATTGCTTTTTTATTTAATAGACATACTAAAATGATTTTGTTTATTTTTTTATAAATTTAAGTATTGACTTTAATATCTAAATTTTCTCGCTCAAGTTGTAATTTTTCTCTTCGGCATATGTATGGAGTTGTGCATAATGTGAATGAGCATATAATTATGCGTAATGAGCTAGAATGACATGGAAAGAAATTGTTAGGAGCATTTTCAGTCTTAACTCTTTAAAGATATATTTTGTTACATAATGTCAAGGAGTAGAATAAATGACTTTTACCATTTCAAATCAAAAAACTTGATTCTCCTTAAACTAAAGAGATCTTTGCGAGGTGGATTTTGTATAATAGTAAATAAATGAAGAAAAAACATTAGGAACAAATAAAGAGTAGGAAGTAACTTCATTAAAGTTAATATTTTACATCAAAGTAGATATATCCAACCATCATAACCAACCTAAGCAAACTAGTCATACCTTGCCTAGGCATCATATTATCAACAAAATATTCATAACTTGTCTACACATCAGATTGTCAACAAAATATTCCTAATCTGCCTAAACATCATAATATCAACAAAAAGTAGTTCTTCACCATCATGGTGTCATCTAAGCAGTCATTAGATTTACAAAACATTCACAATTTCCCCTGATATGTCATCATGGTAGCAAGCACGTCATAGCAAAAAACTAGCATTCACATTCTTTGGACCATCACTTAGATGTCATTATGCATCCAAGCCTGAGTAGTCACATATGCACTCTTCCTTTCATCAGACATTTTGAAAAATACCCTCAAAAGGTCATGTTCTTTGGCCAAGAAGTTTGTGACTTTAAATAATTCCATGGGAGCCAAAAACTCCATTTTGCTTAACTCACCGTCAAGTTTTTGTTGCATTTCAGTTAGATTTATATCGGTTGACAATGCATGAACTAGACCATCAAGCTTAGGTCCCATATCGGCTATAGCTTTAGCCATAATAGAGAATTGCTTAGCCATTTCATCCCCTACTCTTGCCCTCTTGCGACTAATGTTTGATGTGTTACTTTCTGCATTCCTTTGTTGTTGGATATTTGGTACTGAGAAAGAAGTATCATAGTCATTTCTACTTTCATCCTCACCTTCATGTTGATTGACATTGGCATCTTCAAGTCTAACGTCTTCTTCATCGTCATCAGCGTTACCAGCATTTGCACCCACAACACGATCTTTTGCATAAATCTCTCCCAAACTGTGGTAGTGTGGAAAAGGCTTATCGTACAATCCACTTGCATCCTTTTTACCCTACAAACAAAAAACACAAAATACAAGGCACATAAGAAAATGAAAATATTATGTAGACATGAATTTCGTTTGCATATAGAGCTAATTTCTCTTGACCTTTAATTATCTAAGCTGTTTGTTCTTACTGTTCATTATCTGCTCTTTTTAGGCAACTAGTCCTCAAACAGGGGGGAGCAAGCTGGTGGAAGCATGAAATCAATGAAGGATAAGGATAAATCAGGTAAGGACGGCAAAGAAGTACAAGAAGCAACTGGTTTGAAGACCGCAGGTTCTGAAGGAGAAATAACAGCAGGTTTGTATGCAAATGCTTGCAATATTGACTTCTTGGAACAAGGTTTATGTGAAACATTTCTATTTTATTGATATCTTTGGGAAACAGGTATGATGCTGCCATTTTTTTTCCTTGAGTTTTCCTAATTGAATGCCCTTTAAGTGGTATTTAATTTTTCATTTAGTTGAACACCAATACTTATTATATGTGAAATAGTTCTATTTTATCTTGTAACTTAGAATTACCTAAACAACGTTCCATGGAGGTTTTTCTTTTTCTATGCATGTTGTTAGTGCATTATCCTGAACTTAGAATCCTTGAAAAATATTTGGCAATTAGTGGGCAATTACGTCATTTTTTGTATAAAGTTTTGCAAAAAAATGCATGAATATATTCTTTAGAGACCTTTGAGGGTCACCCAGGAAATGTTGAAACAAACATGGCAGGTAATTCATGTTCTAATTCAATCACCCGTCCCCTGATTTGTAATTAATAAGATGATGATATTAACTCTGAGATTTTGAACTCAGTGCAATTAATCAAGGAACTGAGATTCTAAAAACAAAACAAAATCAGATAAAACACAAAATACAATCAGATATATGCAAACCTTCGTAGTCTCGTCATACGCACTTTTCTCATAAGCCAACATCATTTTCTCTTCATTCCACTCAAACCCACTGAGAGCTAGCAATTCAGTTAAGGCAAAATATTTTGCCTTCAAAGTCTTGATGTGTGATTCAATGTGGGGAGACGCCTTTAATCCGCACCTTGGGAGTTTGGCTTCAATCATAACTTCTATCTTCCCCAAATAACCATTCTTGAAACCAGTGTCAGCTCGCCAAGTTGGGTCACTATGCAACTCAAGCAATGATTCAACCAATATTGTATCCTCAGTACTTGTCCAATAATGTTTCTGTTGTCCCCTTCCTCGTTTCGCAGATGAAACAGAAGCCATTCTACATAACAATATTAGAAATCATAAGCATTTCAAATGATTTCAATTACGAATAGGATGTCTTTCTTAACTTAGAAACAAATACAACATTCCAAATGTTATTACAAACAATATTAGACATAAGCATTCCAAATGATTTTGATTACAAACACTGATGTCTTTCTTAACTTAGCAACAAACAAACCATTCTAAATGTCATTACACAAACAGTGATGTCTTTCTTAACTTAAAAACAAAAGAAGCATTCGAAATGTTATTACAAACATTATAATATAAAAAGACACTAATGTCTTCATTAAAAGAAAAGGACACATCAAATGAGGACTTAATGAACTGCCCTATTGTTCCACATTTCTTGGGCAAGGTTATCCCTCCATGAAGTCCACTCATATGAGGACTCAACAGTGGTAATATAGTTATTCGCATCTAAATTCCCATCTTGAAATTGTCCGTCCGCATCGGCTTCTATAGGATCTACAACCATCTCCCTCCTTATAAAATTATGGAGCATACAACACACTAAAATTATACGACGATGTGTCCTAATGTCGTAATAGGATGGGCTCCTAAGAATTCCCCAACGCATTATCAATAGCCCAAAACACCTTTCAATGACATTCCGAGCACTTGAGTGTTTCATATTAAAAAACTCAGACAGTGTTGTAGGACGATAACTATCTCTCCGCTCATTCAGATGATAACGGGGTTCGTCTATAAGGTGCAAGAAAACCTTTTCCGTTTGTGTAGCCACCATCAACTAAATAGTAACAACCTATTGTTGACAAAGAATTAAATTGTCAAACTTACAACTCTATCACTTGCAATTCAAAAGCTAAGAATTTTAATTACTAAAAAAAGTTGTAAGTGTTACCATTAGGGACTTTCAATCCATTTCTCCTAGTCACATCATCTCTAAGAACTCGACCATCATGTGCTGACCCTTCCCATCTAGGTAAAACATATATAAACTGCATGTCCGGAGTGCAGACTCCCAAAACATTCATTGCTATTTCATTTTTCCTTGTTCTGTACTTTGGTTTATCACATTCTGGTACATGCACCTTAACAGGTGTTCCATCTAGTGCACCTAAGCAATTCTACAGTATATAAGACATTAAATTAACAAACTAAACTATGAAATAAAAAGCTAGTAATTACTGAGTAGTGTAGGCATGTAGATACTACATACCTTAAATCATTTCCACTTCATGTTGGTTGAGTTCTCAGGGATAGGCTCAGGTGTTTGCCAAAAATCCTTTTGGCATCGAATCATTGCTTTAATACACTCATGGAAATACTTACTAATTGTTCAACCAGACCTTCTAAAGTGGTGATTAATTGTGCGATTCTTAAGATGGTGTGCAAGAATGTATAGAAAAAATGCAACCATCTCCTCTATAGACACATTTCGAGTAGCTCGTAGTTGTCCTCTAGTCATAAGAACTTGACATAATCTATGAAATGATCGTCTATCCATTCGTAGTTCAGCAATACATGTCACATCACTCTCATAAATTAAACCATGTAAGTATTCTAATTGCTTGTAAACTCTTATGATTGTTTGACGAGGTGAGGGACTTCTAAGGCGCTTTTGGAAACAATACCAAGAATAGAAACAAAAAGTAGCACATGCAACAAATATAGTTCGAAGATAGACAATCAACACATTCAACGCAGCATGTAATTTCTTCTTTGTGGACAAACTTAGATGAGCCATTAGTCTACAGAAAATAATAAAGAAAAAAAATGTCATGAAGGACTTCAATTAACAAGTTAATAACCAAATTTGCAAACTGAAATAAATTAACATTACAGAACACAATCAGTCACAAAAATTTACATTTTTTTTCCTCCATACCTAGTCTCACAATTAATGAAAAAATAACAACATAAATCATAGTATACCTGCAACCACTGAAGAGAGCTCAACCCACAACCTTGTCCTTACTCTTCCTAATGTCATAAAGATGATGAATATTTGATTAATAAACATTTGTGAGCATAAAGAATTAGGGATAAAGTACTCTTCCTAAACAATACAAGTAAAACTTAAGACCATCTTCAATTCTTCAAGTATAAAGAATCGGTGGTGGCCCCCATGAAGACTATACTGCCATCTTCGATGACGGGCAAGAACGAGTCATGCTGGGACTTTTTGAACCTGTGAACCACGTCCACAAACAGTTTTGTGTTTTCTTAGCCGCCTTTTTCTTCTTGAGAGCAAGCCACCATATAAACCCATGTATAGGAACACTTGGGTCTCTACCAGAAAGTGAGTCTTAAGAGCATCTCTAAGACCATCTCCAATGGTGGCTTATAACCTAAATTTTCCCCTTTCCCCCCCCCCAAATCCACTCCAACCCAAAACCTAAAACCTAAAACTTAAAATGAAGGCAAATATAGGTCACAAATTTAGCCCACAAAAGTTGCTGGGACCCACGAATGAGAGTGTAGCAAACGGCTACTTTTCTTCATCGGGTGGTGGTGGTAATTGGACCATTGGTTAATCCAACAGTCCACATTCAATTTTTTTTTGTTTTATATTTATATATTTATTGAATCCAACGACTTAAATCAAATATAATCAAATCTAACGGTAAACAAAAAAGATCTAACGGTCCAAATTTTAATCCAATGGCTAGAATAATCTTAAAATTTATTGGAATTTAAATATTTTTTTTCCAACGGCTAGAATAATTTTTTTTTTAAGTTTATGTGGCCTGTGTAAGTTTATCTTACATTGCCGGTCCCAAGCCTGGATAAAGGAGGAGGGGGAGGGCGTCAGGTAGTCGACAGCCGGCACTCCTCGGTTACGTCGAATCTTTATGAAAATGAATCCAGAACGAAATCGCGCTAAAGCTAGGGCGTCACCCGTAAGTGGCGCGCTGTGTGGCCCAAGCACAGTGATAAGTGAGCAAGGGTCGCTGTATCTCCATCGGCACCCGGATGCAGTGTTAAATGAGCAAGGGGGCCATAGAAACTTCTTTTCGAACGACTCCACTCAAAGTTGTTTGAGAGCATATGCTCTTATCAACTTTACACAGGACACACAAAAGAAGTACTTTGATCCTATTAGACGGGGGATGGTGAAGAAGTTAGGACAGAAGGGTAGAGTTCAAGAGAGTAGAATGCGTTTAGGAACGTGGAATATAGGAACCTTAACAGGAAAATCTATGGAAGTAGTGGAAGTTATGGTGAGGAGAAGGATAAATATTATGTGCCTACAAGAAACTAAGTGGGTTGGTCTTAAGGCAAAGGATCTAGAAAACTCAGGGTTTAAACTTTGGTATTCGGGCACAAATAGAACGAGAAACGGTGTTGGCATCATCGTGGACAAGACCTTGACACAAGATGTTGTAGATGTCAAGAGGGTAGGAGATAGAATCATGGCAATCAAGATTGTAATAGGACAAGAACTCATCAATGTGATTAGTGCGTACGCACCTCAAGTAGGGTTGGATACGAGTTCGAAGGAGAAATTTTGGGAAGACCTTGGAGACTTGGTGCAAGGAATTGCCCAGACGGAGAAGTTATTTATAGGAGGAGATTTAAATGGACACGTGGGCAGGGAGACAGGCAACTATGGAGGTTTTCATGGTGGCCATGGTTTTGGGGAGAGAAACGAGGATGGAAAGCTATCTTGGATTTTGCAATGGCATATGATCTCTTCTTAGCCAACACCTTCTTTAAAAAGAGAGAAGAACATGTGATCACCTACAAGAGTGGGTCGTCAAAAACACAAATAGATTTTCTTCTAATGAGGAAAGGGGATCATATAACTTGTAAGGATTGCAAAGTTATACCGGGAGAGAGCTTGGCTAATCAACATCGCTTATTGGTGATGGATGTACATATCAAAAGAGTGAGAAAAAAGAACAAGACTTGGAAGTGCCCAAGGACTAGATGGTGGAATCTAAAAGGAGAAAAATAAGCCATTTTCAAAGAGAAAGTAATCACCCAGTGTGTGTGGGATAGAGAGGGGGAAGCTAGCCAAAGGTGGGATTCCATGGCTAGTTGTATCCAAAAAGTATCAAAAGAGGTATTAGGAGAGTCCAAGGGCTTTGCTCCACACCAAAAGGAATCTTGGTGGTGGAATGAGGAGGTACAAACAAAGGTGAAGGCTAAGAAGGAATGTTGTAAAGCCTTATACAAGGATAGGACCGATGAAAGGAATGTTGTAAAGCCTTATACAAGGATAGGACCGATGAAAATGGTGAAAGGTATAGAAAAGCGAAGCAAGAGGCGAAGAAAGCTGTGAGAGAAGCTAAGTTAGCGGCTTATGACGATATGTATAAGCGGCTAGATACCAAAGAATGAGAGTTAGATATCTATAAACTAGCTAGAGCAAGGGAAAAGAAGACAAATGACCTAAACCAAGTGAGGTGCATCAAGGATGAGGATGGAAATGTTCTTGCTACAGAGAACGCGGTCAAAGACAGATGGAGAGGTTATTTTCATAATCTTTTCAATGAAGGACATGAAAGGAGTACTTCTTTAGGGGAGTTAAGTAACTCAGAAGAGTGTAAAAACTACTCCTTTTATCGTCGAATCAGGAAGGAAGAAGTGGTTGTAGCTTTGAAGAAGATGAGGCATAGAAAAACAATGGGTTCAGACGATATACTAATCGAAGTGTGGAATGTCTTGGGAAAGACAGGTATAGCATGGCTCACTGACCTTTTCAATAGGATTTTGAAAACGAAGAAGATGCCAAATGAGTGGCGAAAGAGCACTTTGGTGCCTATCTACAAGAATAAGGGCGACGTACAAAATTGCATGAACTATAGGGGTATTAAGCTAATGAGTCATACAATGAAGCTCTGGGAGAGAGTCATTGAGCATAGATTGAGGCAAGAGACACGGGTTTCGGACAACCAATTCGGGTTCATGCCAGGGCGCTCAACCATGGAGGCAATCTATCTCTTACGAAGATTGATGGAAAGATATAGAGATGGGAAAAAGGATTTACACATGGTCTTTATAGATTTGGAAAAAGCGTATGA